TCGAATGCTTTTTGGAGGGTAATATTATATTTATCAGTCAATTCATTTTCTGCAAAATCGAGTTCGGCTCGTCCGCAGCTTTAATCATCAAACTTCTAAATATTTTGTATTTTTTAATTGTTTTTTCCGAGACTCTTCAATTCCGAGTTAAAATTATTAATTGCTGTAGTTAATGCTTGCTGTTTTAATCGTTAAATTCGTAGTCAAATGATTATAGTTATAGTGGCAGCAAGCTGTAGTCATTGTTTTATTTTCAATGCTGATGTTTGTATTATTTATGTTGATACGAGTAAGGTATGGATTAAATGGAAGTTGAAATCGTCATTATTGTGTAAATAAAATTTGTTTAGAAACTAAGAGTAAAAAACCAAGGATGGTAAATTCCAGAATAAAGCTGAGGTAGAGGATGGGATTTAAGTTGGGTTAAATTCGTCGTTCTGTTTTTTTGACGATTAATTATAGCTGAAAGACAGAAACTTTATAATTATCAGGATACTCTTTATCACGGCACTATTAAACCACTATAAACCAATTATTTATTTAAAGGTTATGAATAAAAAATACATTTTCGAAATATTATTATTTAGGAAACAAAAAATCCTTCCTTGCAATTCATTTTTTTTTCTATACTTTTTTGTGGAAGGTTTTCCAGAAAAATAAATATTGAACAATGTTAATTTTATAATATGAAGATAAAGATTGTTATGGGATCATAATTTTGTCATGGCCTCGGAAATTTTTATCTTATTCTTGAGGCCTCAGTTAAAAGTTCCTGAAATCCTGATCATAATAATAATAATAAAATGAATAATCGAACATTCGTAGATATGGCAAAGGAAGATTCAAAAACCAGTAGGCCTTGATCTTAATTTTCGAATACAATAATGGTTCGGCTCATTAAAAAAACAGTCATAAAATTGATATTATCTTCCGTGTGAATGGATGATTTGGAGAAGAAACATTCACAGACGAAGATACTAAAAGCTTGAAGAAACCCATATAAGTTTCTTTTTCTCCAGGGGCTGTTCAATTGTTTTAAATTATCTTCCGAAGGAAGTTCATAATTAATGATCAAAAAAAAAAAAAAGAACTCAAAATGCTTGAATCCATACATTAAATCATGTCAAAGATCTCATTATTCTTTTGTATAATAAATAACATATGTGACATGCTGCAACAAAGCAATTTTGCAACTTTTAACCCGTTGTACCATTAGCAGCCTTTTAATTATCCAAAAAACATACATATAATAAATGTATAATTAATCCAAAAATATGAGTTCATATTAAGCTCACCTCTTTTTTGGTCTTTTTATTTTAAATAGTTTACTATATATCAATCATTTACTATGTAGAGGAAATAATATAAGAAATTGTCAGCATTCCTATAATAAAATTTCAATCACCTTTGTGCTTTGTGCCGCGGAACAATGAGTTTTACACAATTCAGTGATGAATAGACTTTTATGTAAAAATTGACAATAACTAAATATATCATCAGATTTTTAATCTAATCATTTAAAAGCTTACTATATAATATATTTTAATGGCAGAGCAATAATGATTATTTATTTTAAGTTTAAATTGGCCAAGTTAAATTTGGTGAACAGTTCCTGAACCAATTGAATCAGACATAATTACAATAACCTTTTATATATATTAAAATTTAATTGCAGAAATTAAAATATAAAAATCATTAATTTTTCTTTACTATTTTATATACTTCAAATTCTTCCAATAAATGAACATCCTTATTACTATTCCTAAGATTTAAATTATTTTCATAAGAATAATTAGAAAAATAATAATAACAATAAGGTTGATTATTAATACTAATGAATAGGTGTAAATCATGAAAACTTATAGAATTTTCATAAAATTTTATATTGTCTAAATCCCTATCAATGGTTTGTCTACTATGAAATATTGCATGCCCAGGATTTTTGACTCTACTTAATATTGAATTACCAAGTTGATTTTCATCAATCTTAAAAATAAAACTTTTATCTGTTTCAATAAAATACCTTTCATTTGGTGCTTTTTTGTTTATATTCCAACAAACAGGATTATATCCACCTATCAATTCACCCGTTTCTTTAATTTTAAGTAATACTACGGTTTGTTCAATGTTATAGCACATCTCCTCAAAAACTGCTCTTGAAAAGCCATCTTGAGATCCACAAAGGATCAATTCAAAATCATATGGAATATTATTTTCATTATTTTGATTAATCCAGCTAGAAATTAAAGGGCTCATTTTCAAATTTAATAATTTTTTTGTTCTTGGACCTCTTTGAAGAAGTAACTTTGGCTGCCACTTTTTAGTAAAATAATATCCATGAATTTCTTTGTATAATTTTTCATCAAAAGCCTTTTTATATGGAATGATTTTATTAAGAAAATCTTCTTTAGATATCTCACTGAATCTAACCAATGGAATAACATCTTCTAATAAATATCTTAATTCTTCAAAATCATCATTGCTCCACATTGAAATAATTTTTCCCAATGTTTGATTTTGTCCAATCCCCCATTGAATGACATAATCCCAAACATCAATCTCATCTAATTTTAAATTATCCTTTTTCAATATAGAAACAAGCATAGATTTTTCAATTGCTGCAATATCATTAGATTTTAAAATTGATGCTGGATTTTTACAAATTAATTTATTACAAAAATCTTGAAGTAAGGTGAAAAATTGATGTTTAGATGAAATATTATGAACATAAATTAATTTTTGATGAAGCCATTCATTTTTTTCATTGATTAAATAATTTTGCAAATCATCAATTAATTCATTAAAGTTTAATTCATCACATGCTTCAATAAAGATTAATAATCCCATTATACATATACCTTTTAAAAATAAATAAATAGAAAAAAATAATGATTAGTATATAAATGTTATTATTATTTAATAATTATAATTTAATTTAATTTTAATTTATTCCTACATTAAAAGTACTTCAAAAACTCTTGGAGAAATATTTTCTTTTTCAAACAAAATATTGCCATCATCAGACTTTTTAACCCAATTTTTAGATAAAGCTGTTCTAAAATACAAAGACCTTGCTTTTAAGATGGTGGAATGAGCTTTAAAAATTTTATTATCATCTTCCACTCCAACTTTAATTTCTGTATCATAATAATCTGAATTGTCCAACAAATTTGAAAAATCATTTACTAGCTTATTAATATATTTTAAAGGTGAAGC